GGGAAGGGCGCGGGGCCGAGAGTCAGTGTGGGACCCAGGATCTCCCCGCGCCCAGTGGGCAACCATGACCGACGAGAGCTCCGATGTCCCCCGGGAGTTGACGGGTAAGCCTGGCGCGGGGGGCCGACTGGCCATCGTTCTCTGTACATACCTCTTCTCCGCCTTCCTTTCCACCTCCGTCCTCCCGCAGAGTCCCCGCGCCCTGGCGCGCTTGTGGTATGGGGCTGGGTCGCCGGGGAGCGCCTAGAAGTTTGCTGGCCTGATGGCCGCAGGAGCTGGGTGCAGAAAGAGGAAGGCGTGGGGAGGCATCGGGAGCCCTGGAGGTCTCCGGGTGGGTCTCTCTGCCCTGCCCCACCAGGTGGGTCAGGTTGGCGGAACATGGAGCTGGAGGGACGTCCCTTCCAGCGGCCAGCCCCATGGACCCTAACTCGGAAAAGTCCGGGAAAGCCTAACAGGAGGATGCCTGGCGACAGCATCGTAGATCCCCTCAGGCTCGTGCCAGGCACCCTCCAGGAAATTCCCCTCTGGGGTTGCCCCTCTCACTGACCACCTTAGGGATGGAGGCGCAGACCCAGCGTCAGGACCCGGTCTGGCAAGGCGTGGCTTTGGGGATTGAGCTGGTAGAGAGAAGGTTACCGACTGACGTCTACTTTGGGCCAGGAAATGGGGGGTTAATGATAAAAGCCTTATTTAAATAATGATTTACCTACCTACCACCCCCAGTCTCTTTGGAACACATATATGGTACTCTGTGCCAGGTGACCGGTTGCTCGGGGGCCCTCCTGGTTGGCCGCGGGCCGGGGGGGAGGGGGCTGGGGCGTCCTCTTTTGGAGCGGTGGGTGGGGAGAGCATTAGCTGAAATTTAAGTCTTGGAGCTTTGCTTTATCAGGAAAGGTTAAATGGCAGATGACAAATGGCCTAGGAGTGCGTTAAGGTGAATGTGTCAGCTTGGGCATGCTTTGAGACTGATTCTGACCTGTCTTCTCTGAGGTACCATGCTGAGCACACTCTCAGTGCCTTCATGTTTTTTGGGTGCAGACCTGCAGGGAAATTTCTCACTGAGGGCTCACCTCAGTCTGGAATTTGCCCCTCTGCTACATATTGCAGCGTTTATATTTGAGAGGATTTGGTGTCCTGTCACAAAACTGCTCACTCTGCAGGTGAAACTTGGAGGGAAGAAGCTGTTGCTGATTTTGTATGGAACTTTGCTTTTGTTGAATTAAAACACGCCACCACGACAGCAAAAAGAAAAAAAAAATTGAGGGAGATATTCTTGCACATCCCCTATTTTGTTCCAGGCCCTCTCCTCAGTCACGGGAGTCAGTTCTGAGACATCGAGGAGTGACCCATTTGGTTCTGAGTGTTTCCAACACCCTGCCTGAACAGGAAAGTAACACTGGAGGCTCCAAAGATGCCTCCTAGGGTAGTAGATATTTAGAAAGTTGTGTAGCATTGTCCTGGAACCTGAAGTTTCAGGTGATTTTAGAAAGTTGTGTAGCATTGTCCTGGAACCTGAAGTTTCAGGTGATTTTAGAAAGTTGTGTAGCATTGTCCTGGAACCTGAAGTTTCAGGTGATTTTAGAAAGTTGTGTAGCATTGTCCTGGAACCTGAAGTTTCAGGTGATTTAGACTCAAGGGAAAATGTGGAGGGTGAGGTAAAAAGACTGCTTTTATCAGTGGTTTTCAGTTCTCACTATGCTTAAAAGTTGAATTTGACCCCTCTTTTGAAGGGGATTTTTGTGTTTTGTGATTTTGGAAGTACAGTGGCCGGCAGGATCCTTCTCTGGCTAAATCATTTGATGTATTTCTTCACCAAACCTTCTGTGATATGCCTAGGCCTTTACATGGTTCAATTAGGCTATGGGGGGAAAATGTACCTGCTCTTGCTTTCTAGTTTCAGGAGCTCACAAGAGTTCTGAGCAGTCCAAAATGGCAGACTGCAAGGGCCTCACTGTATTCTCCTAAATGCCCCCTTTAAGGTGTGTAAGCTGTTGATGATGTATCTTTCTGATTAAGACTTTTTTTTTTCTTTTAAAAGATAGGGGCTCTGGTAGCCCAGGGTGGGGTCAACTCACTATGTTGTAGCTGAAGTTGGCTGCAAAAGGTTCTCACTCCTCCTGCCTCAGTCTCCTGAATGCTTGTTTACAGATATGAGCCACCTCTTGAATTTTGTACAACAGTTTTAAATGCAGAAAATAAAGGGTGTAGGGGGTCTGGTGGGAGGGATTTGCAGTGTTCCAAGCTATTAATCCTAACACTGTGGAGGCAGAAGCAAGTGGATCTCTGTGAGTTTGAGGCCAGCTTGGTCTATATAGTGAGTTCCAGGACCGCCAAGACTACATAGGGAGACCCTGTTTCAAACAAACAAACAAACAAACAAACAAACAGAGAACAAGAATCCCTTGTCTGGTGTGTCGCTCATCACCACCAGAGACACTACTTTTATCTTCTGGATTGTGACTTCTGTCTGCTTTCATGTGTGTATAGTAAGTGAATTTCAGTGGTCCACTTCCCATAAGTCTCTTAGTGGGTGGCATAGGGGGAGTCTGTGTGGCTTTTGGTTCTGATGAAATAGTAGCTGGACAGAGAACTCCCAGTGCCCAGTCTCCCCCACATATACCTGTCCGTCCTAATTCTGCCTCCTTGCTGTTCCTTGAGCTGTGTTTTCTTTTTTCCAGCCTTCTTTTTCCTTCTCTCATCTTTTCTCGACCTGCTGTGTAGTTGTTGCCCAGATCAATATACTGAGATTTCTTTAAAAAAATGTTTTTGTTTGTTTGTTTGTTTTTGGTGAGAGGGTCTTGTTTTATCACACAGGCTTGTGTTGGATTACTAGACTGAGTGATTCTTATGCTCCCCTAGAGCCCCCCTTGCCCCCCCAGGACTTGAGACTATAGGCAGGGGGACCATCAAGCCCAAAGAAGGTGGGAGTGGGGCTTGATCTCAGAGGGCCTGGGTCATCATAGGCATGTGCTCTACCACTGAGCTACACCACAGCCCACTGCTATCAAGACTTTAATATCTAGAACTAGAGAGATGGCTCAGCCATTAGGAGTCCTTGCCTTCCAGAGGACTTCAAATTGGTTTCCAGACTTTGTCTCAAAACAAAAACCTCTTGAAGGCTGACAACTCTTAGACTTGTTCATCTCGTAGAAAGAGAGGAGAGCACCAACAATGAAAACAGCTAGACCCACTCCTCCAAATGCCTGTTCTGCACTAACCCCCCTTTTCTTGCTAAAGAAGGAATACAATGAAACCCTTTCTTTCTTTCAGAAAGCATAAAGGATGTTATTGGCAGAAAGATCAAAATCTCAGTGAAGAAGAAAGTGAAGCTGGAAGTGAAGGGAGACAGAGTGGAAAACAAAGTGCTG